GGGGGGGGGCGCCACACATTCTCCTTCTGCCCCCTCCCAGACCTCCGCCTCGTCCACCCCACCAGCGTTGAGTTGACCGACCTGAAGTGAGGAGGCCCCCAAAAAGGAGGGACGTGACCCTGCCCAAGCTCCCTGGCCGCGAGCCCTTCTGCTCGCACATAGACCAGATCCAACTCCCCACCGCGACGACAAAGACACTGGGAGAAGTTGGACGATGACCGTCCAAAGGTGGACCTCAACACCCATCGTCCCATGGGGGGGGGGAGCCTCCCGCACCGCTCAGCGTCACCGAACGGGGCAGGGCGCTGCTCTCCTGGGCTGCAATCCCCCATCCCGGGGGAAAAACTGGGGGTAACATGGACAAAAAGTGGGGGCAGATACTTACTGCCATGGACTTGAGCGTGATCTGCTCGTAGTAGTGAATGGTCTGCTTCTTGTTGGACGAATCGGGGTAGCCAAAGCCCGCGATGTGCACCAGGTCGCAGAAGTGCAGCGCCAAGGTGATGGCCAACAGCCCCGTGGTGGGCTTCTGGAGGGAGAGGGTGGAGGAGAAGACGTGTGAAGAGCCGCGGGCCTTGAGCGGGCTGCACGGGGATGGCCCGGGGGACCGGCAGGGAGGACGTCACCCCTCAGGGGGGTGCAGGGTGCCTGGCCATCCCTACCCCTTACCTGTTTGACCTTCCGTGGTTGCTTCATGGGGAGGTTGAGCAGTTTAGCAGCAGTTACTTCCATGTAGTAAGGGTTGAGGATGCGCACTCGCTCCGGGTTGGCATCCCAGATCAACGGGGGCTGTTTCCAAAACCCTTTCCGAACCTGCAAGAGGATGGAGACGTCCAGCGGTGTCCCAGTCAGAGAGGTAGGTCCCCAGGGTGGGGTGGGATGAGGGTTGGACCCGGTTCCCCGCCACGCTTACCCTCTTCTTGTCGTTGAGGATGGCCTCCATCCACTGGAAGTCCATGGGCTTGAAGGGCACCAGCACCAGCAACGTGTCGGGGTTGTTCTCCGTCCTGGGGTTGAAGTGGGCCGACTCCGGGTAGAAGAGGCGCATGGTGGTCTTGGAGCCCACGTCCTGCTCATAACCATGGACCGGGGCGTTGTTCAACCTTGGGGGGGGGGGGGCGGGGGGAGAAATGGGGA